ATATATTTAACAGGAAATCAATAAATAAAAAGCAGATATAAAGCAAACATAAACTTTTATTTCGTGTTTGATGTTCAATATATCACATCTTTGCACATCTCTATCACATCTATGTTAAAATAATACACCATTGAATGAATGCCTCCTTATTTTCTCAGCTCTAAGGCCCTCCGCGTATGACAAATGCCAGACACCCGGGAGGTGGGGGTCAAAGGGCACAGACAAACCACTGGCGGGGGTTAACGTCACCAATTAATACTCACTCTTCACGCATACGAGTTATACATAACAAAAATTATGGATCAGTTAACAGACCATTAGTCGCGCGTGTTATAAATGACCATCGTTAAATATACCATCATTTATAATGGTAAATTAGCAAATATAGTGCTATTTTGTTAATTACAAGGTATATATTGTTGGCCGCATTCATGGCATGCATTCACTATAGCGGGCATTGACTGTAACACTAATATTCATTGTACTGTAATGTCGTCTTCCCAGTGGAGCGCAGCTCTTAAAAAGCAGAGCACTGTTTGTGGTGTGAAATGCATTGAAATGTATGGCAAACACAACACTAAACACACTGTCTGTCTGTGAATGCAGTCAATGCAGTGCTCGCCGTAAACACAGTCTCTCTCTCTCTCTCTCTCTCTCTCACACTCACTCTCTGACTGTGTTTTTGTGAACATTATATCTAATTATTTATTAATTCATTTCATAATTAATAAATTAGTTGATATATAAAGTGATTTACATTTTTACCATATATTTATACACAAACTATATTGTGATTTGTATTTACACTTTGGGTTCTGTGTTTGTGGTCAACAGTCAGTGCTTAAGACAATACAAATTGAGTGATAATTACAAACACTTTATTAAAGTTAACGTTAATTTTAATCATCAAATATACCGGCATTTCATTGGATTCAGTCATCGATTGCATGTGTTTTTGGATCTAATCGTCGATACGATTGTTATAAACTGTTTTTAATTGTAATTTAATTAAACGGCTAATTATTAGTCACTAATACATACGGCTAACCGATTGGCGCCCATCTGTCTGTCAATTGATCCCAAATGGTGTCCAGAGATTGTCGTTTGAATATACACTAAACCATCGGTGGCTCGCGATTATCATCAAATCGAGAGCTCTCTGCCAATAGAGTATTGACCGCAACAACAGTCGACCCGAAGAGTTGACTGATAGACGAGGCGTTGATTTTCATCCGAAGATATATCTCTAAATGAAATTGATTTGCGATGAAATGATGGCCACCGAAGACATCACGGATTGCATGTTTACCGTCGGAAGTCTGGTCTCGTGTCTCACCTGTTATGACCTCCGAATCGATGGCGAAGTGATTGCTTTCGATTACACCAAACGTCTACTCGTCTTAAGTGAGTCCTCTTTGAGAGACCGATCTGTAAATTATTGAGTTTATTAATCATACCATCTCTTTGTGTGTGTCATGTCTTTGCAGAGGCCAACAGCAGTGATGGCAACTCCAACCACAACGACATCCATTGTCTGAATCTGGAGTCCGTGAAAGACGTGACCGTCAAGAAGGAGGTGAAGCGCGAAGATGTAGTAAACACTCAATTACCGCAAATCAATACATCGAAGGTATGATTGAATTGATTCAAAAGCAGACAACTCTGTTGGGAATGTGTTGTCAATTGATTGGCTATCACTCGCCCTCTCAGGTGGAGGACAGATATCGTCGTGCGGTTGACGAACGCAAACGTCTGGCGGACGCGTTCAACGCCGGAGCCGGCGCTGAAGGCATCAAATTGTGGCTCCAATTAAACAAAACGTGTGTTTTTAAAGGGCTTTGCATTGATTGGTGATTAATTGCTTGCGGTGTCTGTCTCTGCGTGTATACAGTATGAGCCGCGATGTGGTGGTCAGTTGGGACGGCGACAGCATTATTGTGGACAACAGCGTCCGAATCGCACCTCCATATAAGGCGGACAATTGCACGGCACTCAAGACCAGAGCAAACTCTCCGCAAAATTCATTGAATTATACGAAAAAATTGGTAAATATAACCACTTTTTACTGTCACATAACCAAAGAATGAATGAATATTCTTTGATTAGATGTGAATACAATTGTCTGAATGGTATGATTGATATGATTTGTCTATTAAAAGGTGGAGAAGTTCTGGAACGACCAGAAGTTGGCGGCGACCGCACCGGTAGCTAAACCTACCGCCGCCTCTGTTGTCGCGGGCGGACCGCAGCCGTCGACACCGCCGGCCGCGGCTCCAGTGACTGCCGCGTCGATCGTCGCCGGAGGTAATAAGAACTCAGCGACGAACTCAGTTCAGCCCACAGACAAACCTCCCTTTAATAACACTAAAGGATAGCCACAGCCGACGCATGTGTTTGTGTTATAATTTCCGATTTAAAGGACAAAATAATAATTAAAAATATAATTTTAGTGACAATTTTTAAGTCAATTGAATGGAGAAAAAATTATACAAAAGATTTATATATATTATTTGAATTGATTTTATTATTATTATAATTATTATCATTGGTTTAGGAAATAGTGTTTTGATGTCTAAGTGAGAGAAAGAAGAGTGAAATTCTTTTGAATGAATTTTTATCTTCAATAGACTTAGAAATTGACGACAAATTCGTTTATTTTGTTTCCCTTTTGTTGGAAATTTTTTGTCCCGACTTTTGGTTCCCATTTAAATGATTAGAAAATAAGACAAAATGTATTTTTTGAGAGATTTGTTGTCATTTATATTAACGACGAGTTTTTAGTTTTGCTTTTTTTGTACGAATGAAAAACCAAAACAACAAAAACGGACTGTTTTTTAATGATTGAAACAAATAATTATTTGACAACTTTTTTATAAACATATATTTTAAAGCGAATCAAAACAACAAATATTTGAAAATCCATTTCATTTTAAAAACACATTAAAAATGAGTTTTAAGCAAACATTAAATGAAGACACGATTTGAAACCATTTGAATGTTTTATTTTTTATGACACTTAAGAAGTGCTATAAAACTGAAATGAATTATTTGATGAATTTATAAGATATGATAGAAATGTGTTCACTATTTCAGTACACTATTGGCAAGAATTTACTAAAAACTATTTAACTCGAAATTATTGATTTGTATTTCGAATCTCAGGTATATTTTATGATCACATTTTTATATAAGCCATAAATAACTGGTTTAGTGAACACTCCTTTATTTATTGGACTATAATTACAGAATTATCTATAATTTTAGGATAATTTTGAGATTTTAGGCAAATGTCTATCTCTTTATAAATGCATTCAAAATTCATAATTTATTTTAAAAAATTTGCGAATAAAATGATGGGAAGACTGAGAGGAGCGGATGTATTGTATATGGGATGCGACACCTCATCACTAAACGAGATGCACAACACCATAGGGTGTGTGCGCTCTCTATTCACATCACACGCACACAACCGGTGCTAATGGGATGGTATGGCAACCGATGGATAGGCAGGTGTGCGATACGAGCGCACAAACGGCACTATTAGATGATTAAATATAATATTAATTACATTATAATGGGCAGGTAGTAATAAATATTACATAATACACTTATGCTTAGCATGTGGTTCCGTGGTGTAGTGGTTATCACGTTTGCTTTACACGCAAAAGGTCCCCGGTTCGATCCCGGGCGGAACCACGATCATACTTTTTGCTGCACATTTATTCACCTTTTTTATACATAACTTTGATTTCACTGAATATATGGATGTATTAATTAATTAATTATGTTTTAAACATTTTATTTTATATCGAAATTAAATTATTTCCGTTTTTCTTACATTAATAATAAAATAATAACTAATTTATTATAACTATTACAGCGAAAGAGTGAAATATAATCGCGATTTATAATAACGAGGGATAATGTGATGAAATATAATGATTATAATAACAGTAATAGTATTAATGGGAATAACAATCAGTCGGCGCCGACATCCATGTCCTCGACGTCGACCATAGGGTGGAGGCCGTCGTCAGCAGCGGCTGCGGCGGTGCCGTTGGGGCCGCGCTTTCGACTCGTCGGCCGCTTCTTATGGCCGAAACAGTGGTCGCTCTCCGGGCAGTCGTCCGAGTCGTCGGAATCGGTGGACGAGCCGTCGTCGAAGAGTCTGGGTTTGTGGTAAACGCAGCAACACTTGGACTTCTTGCGGCCCAACCCCTCGTTGTCCACCACTGAGTCGCTGAACGACACTTTCTTGCGGTCGCCGGCGGCCACAGCTGTGACCGTCGAGGGCTTCTTCAGCCGCAGCCGAAGTACGGGTGATCTCATGGCCGCCGACGACGAGCCGTCCGTCACGTCTCGGCTGTCGTCGGTTGTGGTTGTGGTCGCACTTCCGCTCACCACTGGTCCGCTCATTACCGTCGATGACATATCACTTCTTCGTCCGCTTTATTGATGAATGAGTTGTGAATGAAATGAATGTTTAATTCAATCAATCGTTTTATTCAATGATTTTGTGTTTCGCTTGCATTTCATGGCGTTTTCAACACTAATTGTCCGCAAATAGCGTTACGCTTGTCTGGCGGTACCCCTGGCTATGATCGATGAATATGAGTTATTTGACCATGCTCATTCGTACTGTAATGGTCGATTATGTGTTTGCGCTTAATCATGTGATTATAAAATGACCTGGTTTTAATCATTTGATAGATGATGGTGTTTTTCTAATTGACGTCCCTATTATATGGGTCACTACACCCACACTCGAAGGTTATAACGTTGTCTACGAATGGGTTGACGTAAATAAATGACAAAATGAGTGATGAAAATAACGTCACAAATATTTTCTCATAAATGGGTTTGAATTGAGTCCACAATAGATGGCATTCAATGTCTCGGGAAATAGCATTTTGTTCAATAAAATATTGCATTAAGTTTTGGCAAAACTTTTTTGAACACTTTTATTACCACTCTTTAAGTTAAATTACGGTAAATAAAAGTGAATTGTTGTTCACTATACAGGAGTTCATAAACTAATTAGTCCTCTAAAAAGGGTTCATTTATGCCAACCGTCGCCTCAATTATTGTTAAACTAGAGTTAATTGTTCAACAATTATGTGTTTCCCAACCCTTTCCCTCTTTAAGAGTAGTGACCGAAACGACTGGACATGTAATGAATGTGTCGATTAAATTGATGTACAATTTTGTATTAATTATTACATATATTAAAGCATTGCATCGGATGTGCAATCAATGCGATCAATGGTTTATTACGTTTACTCTCGCAATGAATTGCGTTAAGCACTCAAATGTCGTTATTATGTAACAAATATTAAACCTAAATCCAAAAAAGTGCATAAAGTTTTGCAATCAGTCTATAATATATTTTATTGTGTGAACAAAAAACCTAAATTATTAATTCATTATAGCTATACGTTGTATAATTATAATAGATCTCTCTCTCTCTCTCTCTCTCTCTCTCTCT